AGTTTTTTTTTGTAGTTATAAAATATCTAGTCTAGAAGTAAAAGATGCACAAGGAATGCTTTATAATTTGGTTGGAAAAGAGCTAAATAGCCACTCAAATGTGCATTAAGGACTTGAGCCCTGTTCTTTTGAAATCAATAGATGTATTGTACCCAACTTTTATGGAAGCAGGACGTATATGAATCCAGTAATCCATGAGTTCACTCTCTTGGCACACTGTTTAGGCAGAAGCAGATGATTGTAGGTCATATTTGCATATTTCTATGGAAGTTATAGAGTGGTATAAGCAAATCTGCTTTCACTGAAAAAGGACAACGTGCAACTGCATATTTACTAACATTAATCAATATGCATAGAAAGGAGAGAAAGAGGAAGTGATAAAGAATTCAGTCCAGCAATTAAAGATTTTCCTCCTCTCCATAATCAACATAAACAGTTGATGATGACCATCATTATTTTCTTTACAAGTTATTACTTTAAAATCCCTCCTTTTGAACCTATTATGAAAACCCTTCAATGATTTCATTGTAGAATCATAGAAAATGAGTATGTTTAGGTGAAAACAGCAACAGTGATTTTCAGCACTGTGCATAAGGGCAGGGTAAGGCTGTCTATAGTTTGTGCTGAAATGTGAGATCGGAGCTCACACATGAAACACTGCTGGCTTGACCCTGAACACAGGGAAAGTGCTAAAGTGCTGACCCCAACAAGCTTGGCTTTGCACCTGAAATCTAACAAAAAAAAAAAAAACAAAAACCCTTGAACTTTTCTTTAATAGTAACACACACTGCTCCTTTTAGAGGACAGACTCTTCTTTCCTACCTCCTTTCCAATTGGACTGCTGCTTTTAGCCCAGCAGAGCATAAATGACTTAAGACACAGAACATGGAGAGCAGATCTATCATAAACAGAGAAGCCATGAAGAATTATTTTTTGTCATCTACTGAGATGCTCTGGAAGCTCCTAGTACTGTAGAGTCATCATATTGGCTCCACACCATCTTCCGTCTGGTTGTGAGTACATTAAACATTGCTAAAGAAAACGAACACGGCTTGGCAACAAGATGATTCCTAGATGCTGGAAGAATTCCCTTAAGGGCTGCTGGAAGTGCACAAAGAATGGAGCATCTCAAGGATGTGAAGTGATATAGAAGTGTGCTGTTAAACCATGTTTGTACCCTTATTTCCTCCTGAGTTAAAACAAGTGCAGAGTGCTGGGTTAGATTCATCAATAGCAAGAAGGAACTGTGCTAGCTTCTGCTGATGCCAAGCAGACAACTCACATTTGCTTTAGAGGTACTAGGTCCACTCTGAAAAAGCACGTAGGAAGTCCCACTCTTGATAAGAGTTTCTACTCTGCTCTGTTGACATCAAAGGCTGCTCTATCCATTGAATTTTCTCTTATTGTTTGCATTAGTCCTTCCCTGTCCCTCATGCATTGAATGTTTTTAATGTAAACATGCCCTGGAAATATTATGTTTAAATATTAAGAAACATGTCAGAATATCTCGACAGTACTGGTATTGCATATTTAATACAAAAGCTTGCATGTGCTTTTAAAACTTTCTCTTCAAACCTGCATGCCTTTTACTGGAAAGAATTGTATTGCAGTTGGATTGTGCGCCACTATCTGGTGCTGACTAAATATTGATGTGTGATAGCAGTTTATTTTTAAGCTGTTTGGGATGAATCCCCAGCCAGTGTAAATTGGCCCACATTTAAGGCAATAGAGTGAAGCTGATTTATACCAGCTGAGGCTGTGTCCTTATGCCCTGCTAAAAGCTCAAACAATTCCAAAACTAGTAAAGAACAGAGCAAGAATAATGAACCCAGGCAATAGGTATTTTGTCTATTTTTAACAGGAAAAAAATAATATAATGATCTCATTTCAAGACTACACCAAAGATTCAGTAGTATTTTAAAATGTATACAAATATCTCATCGCTAGCATTTAGACTAAGAGGTAGATGTCATATTGTAGGAATAGTATAGTGTGGAATGATGCTAATGGCAGTTGCTAAATACATCTATTTGCCCGTTACTCAGGACACAAAGGAGGGCTATAGCAAGTGCAACCATAAGAAGGCTTACAACATCCTTTTCTTCTTTTGCTATTCTATGTTATCTGTCTTTTGGTGCATTCCTTCTGGAAGGGTACGATAGAAAAGTGGCGAGAAGTAAAAAGATCAGTAATACAAAACTTCACGCTTACAAAACGTTAGCTTTATCATTAAAGGCATCCTCTGTACTTTGACAGAAGCATTTTTTACTTACAATTTAAGATTACCTGGCATTACTGAGCAAGTAGTGGAAATTCCAGGTGCGGTGATTCAGCAAAATGGGGGTGAGAAGAATGCAGCTTGCTCTCACTATTTCTCTGTTGTTCATGCTAAAAATACCAGGACATATGGCAGTATATTTCAGCATCTTAACATATTAGGCTCCCTTGAGGATGGAAAAAAAGAGGGAACTTGTGCTGTTGAGCCAGAAACAGATTACAAAACAGTGTTGCCAGACATACAGAGCGCTGGCAGAAAAGCCATTAGTGGAGTCAGTGTCTTACTTTGCCTAGAGGTGTTTCAGTGGTTTTTAATGGGCCTCAAAGAAACGGAAAGCAAAGCTAGTAAGAATAAGGAGCGGTATAAGTGGTTTTATAAATTAGTTTTCATTGCAAGTAGAGGAATTACACATATTGCATTAGGATATTCACTGCTTGTATATATACCTCCCAGTTTTCCCTTGTGACTGTCAGGGGTCGTCCCCCTGCTTGAAATAATCAAAATGCATATTATAATTACACGGTTTTCCAATATCCATACACAGCAAGTACAAGATACTTACATGTAAGTACACTGTATTTACCTATATTTTTGCATAGTTTTTAGTGTGTACTTTGTGCCACTTAATAAAAAGCATTACTCGTATTGTTGTTGTTTGTTTTTCTCTATTAGACAGCTTATTCAATTAAAGTTGAAGTAGCTGGATTTTTGGTACTTTCATCACAGATTACCAGTTCCTAGGAGTGTAGAGATTAGACACTTGGAGGAGCCTGGATAAGCGGTGGGGGAAGCTGCAGTGTGAACACGAAGTTTTAAATCACCTCCTTAATTAAGAAATGCAGTATCAGATTAATGGTGCTAATTTAATAAACTTACCTTTAATTTGAATGGAATTGTAAAGGTAAGAACTCCATTTACCTTTTGGTAACACTTTACAATAAGTGGCACTAAATTACACTATAACTGCTATGTTACAGGGAATTACATGTAACTACACTGTAACTTGAAATAGCTACTGTACATGTGCGTACATGGTAACTTCAGTGCTGTTACAATCATGAATTACATAATTACAGATGATTCTGTCCTTTCTTTTCATTGAAATAGTTATATATATATATATTATACTGTAATGAAAATACACACGATGTTAACTTTCATGTCTTATTTAGAAAAGTTGGTTTTCTTCACGTATTCCTTTACAGAGGGAGTCTCAGTGCAAGACGAACCATCCTTAAGCCATGTGGAAACTCGTTTTTAAAGTGTTCTAGCTTAAATTCTGAGCCTCAAGTTAAACATCAGGTTCCTTAAACTGTTTCTTGGTTTGTCAGATGACACTAAAATAGTGGGAGGATGCAACCCTTGTCTTCCGATGCATCACTTTCTTGTTCAAATCATGAGAATGTTCTTGAAGTGTTTAAAAATAAAATTAAAAAAAATCTACATCAAAAACTTTAAAAATAATCAGCAGTCGACACTGTAAACAGTACACTGGCAGAAACTAGCCGCCTGGTCTTGAGAAAACTACTCTGCAAGTGTGTGAGGGATGCCACAAGTATTTTAGAGAGGGCAGTTCCCACTCAGAGCCTCCGTTTTACACATTCGCTGGACACCTCACACCACAGTCAAAGGAGTATTTCAGAACGGGATCTTGGACAGAGGGAACGGACGACTGCCTTTTAGCCCACTGAATGTCATAGTGCTGAGCCATGGTTCTGCTTACAAAAGAGAGGGACGCCTCTTTACACCTTGCGTAGTAATTTAAACCCGTGAAGACCAGACAGGCCTGCAAAGTGCTATCCAGGTAGAATGCTCGGTGTGGGTTTTTTCACACCTGCTTTGCACAGATGCAAAGGACATCACCAGGTGCATGATAATGGAAGATCAACTTTGTTAAAAAACAAGCACATGTGAGAAGTTTTAATTGAAAACCAATGAAATAACCTATTTTAATAGTACAATTTATATCTCTTTTTGTAAAATTTAAATGCTGTTTCTATGCCACTGGAGAAAATGGTTTGAAATGGTTACCCCAAGGGCAATTCTGCTTTGGAAGGTCCTGCCTGACCTTGGTTGGGCAATGGTTCAAGTAACAACCCTACTATTCGAGCAAGCTGGAGTTAGGAAGAATGAAAAAAGACATAAACACCGTGCTGGTGGGGAATTCCACTGGAGCAAATAAGGCCCTTGTCCAGGGAAGCACTTATTTTTAAGCATATGAATAGTGCCTTACAGTCCAATGGAACTTCTCCCACGCCTGAAGATGAGCATGTGCTTAAATGCCTACTTGAACTGGGTCCCAGGTCCTGAATGAAACCTTGTTGTATGTGATGCTGTACTGTAGCTAATGTAACTTGCTGTTGTGACAAGAACCCATATTTTTGGTATTAAACTGAATGACTTCCTTTGCCAGCCTTTTACATGTGTATGTTTTGAAAGACATGAATATCTTGTAAACCTATACTAGTTTTCAATGTGTCTAGTAGCACCTACCTGGTTCTCTCAAACTACCATATTATATTAACATATTATTGCATTTTTCCACAGATGGGTATGGAGTGAACTGTAAAAACAAGCATGCAATCACATCAATGCAGACTTATTTCTTTAAAATGTCATACTGTATATGATTTATTATGTTAACACTCAACCACATCATATTATTTATGTCTGTATATTTTGAAAAAAAGTGCTGCTTTGATTGACGTCACCCTTTTGTCTTAGAAATTAACAAGATAAATGTTTCAACAAAAACAATTAAAATACTCTAATATTGTCCTTAAAAGCTTTATACTCTTCTGATAAATAATCTGACACGGCACCTTATCTTCCATTTTACCACACTACATGATGTCATATTCCAAACTCTCTCTCTTCCCCACATAAAAATAAAATCCCAGGAGAAAGTCTGTTACAGCAGACCATCATGCTTTTAGGCTTCACAAGTACAGCAACCAGAGAGAAATATTCTTTTGCCAAAGGTGCAAAACTTAGGAGCAAGACACGCTTCAGCTAGACTAACTTGCGTTCTCCAGTGTAGAATCATTTCCAAGAGCTGTTATGGCAACCTTTTTATTTCATTGGAAGAGGAAATAAGCCGATGGGCTTACAGTGTTTTGTTGTCATATTTAAGAGCGTGTGATTTTTCAGCTGTCAATTACACAAAAAAAAATCAGAAATAATCCAAACAGAGACTTTCACTGTGGAGCTAAAAGCATGGCAGGAATTCTCTATCATTCACGGTGACATAAGTTTGTACCTCACAAAATGCATAGACAGGAATTTAATATAAAGAATTAGTCCATTTACTGTATACACAAAACATATATCTTTTGTTTTAACACTTCTATTTTTTTCTTTTTTTTTTTTTCTTTTTTCTTTTTTTTTTTTTTTTGGCAAACCAACATAGAGAAGCAGCTCTGGAACTGCCAAATTAAAAATTGAGAATTTTAGCAACTCAATAGTATTTTTTAAGGATAGTAATCAAATGTGGTTGTAATTTAAAACCTGAGGCTGTGCACTGGTTGTTAGCTTAAAACTACCTTTCCATATAACATTGTGCTTCCATTGTATAACAAAGAAAAAATTAACAAGAACTAGAAAAGTTTGCTGCTGAACAGTGCTAGGACATACAGACAAAAAAATACTAATACATGTTATCTACTCAGAATATTGATTTGAGTCATATCTAAAGGGATATAATGGACATTAGAAAATGCTTACTTGTGACTGACTTAGCTACCGCCAAAAAAGTTAAATATGTATCAAATAATGTTTAATTGAATTTATTATATGCGCTATATACAGATACTAAAATGACTTGCAGTTGTGTCCCATGAATGCTTCAAATTTGAGTAGGCAGGTGAGTTCATGTGAAGCAAATAAATTATAAGAACAGAAATTACTCAGAAAGATCTCTAATCTTTGCGATACCAAAAAGCAGTAAAAGGGCAGGACAAATTTGTTTTAAATGAAGCATTATTGTCTAACTTTGCAGAATCTGTATAGCTATTCAGCATGTTTTTACCACTGAAACATGGCACTGTTGTCAAGGTACCATTTAAAACATAATAAAATAAAGCAAAACAAAACAAAAAATTCAGAGGACTGATAGTTTTTTTTCCACCAAACCCAAGCATACAAGAAACTATCCTAAAAAGATTTCAGCTTGTGTTTCCTAGGGCATATGTTTCAGAAACAAGTTGCTTTTTGAATTATAGATAGACATGTATAAAACATTCTTTGTAAACTTCTAATCTTAGACTTAACATTTTATGTAAGTAAATTAGGTCCTTACCTAATAGTATTTGTTATGAATATTGTTCTATGACACACTAGTAGGGACATGACAAAACAAAACTGAAAAAGAAGAAAGCTGCATAACATTTAAAAATGCAGAAAACTTGGATTAAGATGATGATTAACATTGTTAAGGCTGTATATTCAAGCACTGTATGTTAAGAGAGCAGTGGATATGAATTTTAGGCAATAAGAAATGTCCTGCTTTACGCATGATACTGTAATTATAGAATGATGATGTCAACAGCTGATTGTTGGCATAAACTGGCTACTTATAGCAGGTATGTGAGTTAATAAAGATAGCAGAAGATGGCAGAAATGAATTCTGAGAAATGATAGCCAGTTTTCTCCAGCAGTCAGCCTGATAAGTAAAACTCCAAGACTCTAGCTCTGCATCTAAATGAAATACTCTTTTTTCTCCTCTGCATTGACTTGGCTGCCCTCTGCATTGATAATGGCAGTGTCGGCATCAGGTGCATCTTCAGCTCCTTTTGCTTCATTTGTTAAATATGTTCCTATAGGAATCAGTACAACAGAAAAGAAAAAAAAATAGATTAGGGGTTTTTTTTTAGCTTTATGCTGCATTATAGAAAGTACATTTCTAACAATGATGCAATTCCTTCATGTATGGACAAATATTTTTACAAAATTTTAGTATACCTCACACAGGTATGCTCAATTTTCTAATTTGTCTAAGAAATATTTATAGTATTAATACTGAGAACGCACATACAAAAATTCAAGTATATCCACAATAAATTAAGGAAATCTTTTAGTAAAGATCCACTTTATCTAACTACAGTAATATGCAATATATTTTGCAATTATAGAGTAAGTGATAAAATCTTGGTTATTTCATGGAACAGCTACCCATAGAAAAACAAACGAACTTTGAAGACTTAGATATTCATAAATGCTGATTTTTTAAAAAATGGCCACTCATTATTTTTGTATTTCTATTTTTTCATGATCGTATCTATACTTTAATTTTACAGAAATGTATCATAGTCATTTCCATGAATTACAAAATAGAGGTAGTTTTATTAACCGAACTCACACCACATTATACTCTCACAGATATTATTATGTTAAGGATACGAATAAAAAGAATTGTGTACCATAGTCTAACTTTCTCCTTGTGAAAAGCATTATTTATGTTGGCATAAGATGTCTATATGTTCATTCAAGAAAGTAAAACAAAAGAGACACTTTCACTGGCTCATTAAAAAAGTCTTGGTTTTCCCCTGCACAGTCCAATAAAATTAAAAAGATGTTTTTATCAGATTCTGTCTGCTAGCCATATGGTTATCGTACCTACAATAAGACTTAATGACTTAACACCAACACAAATTCTGTCTTCACTTTTTCTTTTTTTTGGTGAGGATAGGGAATCAACTGAGTTTTAGCAACTGGTCTACATGCCATTCAGAGGTTAAATTTCAAGAAAGGATTTTGGAATTAACTAGGTCAAAATAGGATCATAGAGCAGCTTAGTCAGAAGTCAGTGTCACTTTATCCCTGTTATCTCTAATGACGGGGGGGGATTGAAAATGAAGGGAGTAGAATTCTTAAGGTGAAATCTCTGAATAAAGTAAAGCTTGGCCCAGGAATGAAACACTTCTTCCAGTGGGATCATTGGTAAAAGAATCACTTATCTGAAAACTTACCACTGGCTTCTAATATTATCTTTTAAATACATACTAAAAGTATTAGCACAGTTTATTAAAATGAAAAATCTTGTTCACTCAGTGTGTGTGTATATATATATATATATATTCTGCTGAGCCCATCCCTGGAAGTGTTCAAGGCCAGGTTGGATGAGGCTTTGAGCAATCTGGTCTAGGGGAAGGTGTCCCTGCCTATGGCAGAGGGGTTGGAACTAGGTAAGGTCCCTTCCAACCGAAACAGTTCTATGATTCTATGATTCTATGATATAGTAGTGAAAACTATGAGATAATGTAATCAAGTGCCTAGAGCTAAGGGCTAAAACCAAGGGGCAGTCTTATCTCTCAGTCTCTCTAAATCACTGACTTATGATATGACCTTAGGCATGTAACTAGATGTCCTTTGCCTTGGCCAGTCCACTGGAAAGCTGGGTAAAATTCAGGGACTTCACTCATGACTGGATTGTGAACTGAGCTTTCTTGTCCAAATCATTTAGCAGATGGGGGAAGGCAAAAGGGAACAGCATTCTCAGATAAAATCATGCCTTGCTTCCAAAAGTGACAGAACTTCCACTAAATCTGTCTTACCTTTATGTCTTGCCAGGTATCGACCAAGGAGAATTATAGAACATAGCGTTACAAAGACAACTACAGCCACTATTCCTCCTATAAGAGCGTGGTCAGGTCCAGTCTGTCCAGCCAAAGCATTTGGATCTGGAGGGAGAAACAAAACGCAGAAGTGGTCGTACACAGACAAAAATTGATAAGAAAATTCACAAAGCCAAGTTTTATACCAACCATTCTGAAAATAGGGCATTTCCCTCTTTAATATTCAGCATGGTTTATTCCCGCTTTTACTACCAGTATCTTATCAACAACATAGGGCTGCTTGTATTCCCAGATTGTTAAAGCCCTGAGGACATCACAGTTATGAAAAATATTACTTCATTCTTCTTTGGCAGAGGTTATTAAATGGGAAAGGTTTCTGGTTTTGTCGTTGTCATTTTACAACTGAAAACCTGGCCGTAGCTATTTATAGAAGGAAAAACAAGGAACTGAGAATTGGAGATCAGATAGCATCAGCAGAATAGTGTCTACATAATACATAATTTATAGAACAGATTCTCAGTGGGGATCCCTTATATATTCTTCCTCTCATTCCTATCCTATTGCACCAGAAATAAAAAGGCAGATAAAGTGCAGCCGTGCCCAGTTCCTCTGCACATGGCTGAGTCTGCATGAATTTGGTCAGATAAAGGTACCAGGCAACTGGAAAGATCATCAGTCTCAAGCATCAGTTTGTGAATTTTCTACGAATACTCAATTAACGCCCAATGTGAGCAAGCTGTAATAGATATAACAATGTATTAGCAGGTTCATTTTACTAACTCAGTGCAGAGTGCTAGGAATACTGCCAGATTCAAGCTTTCTGTGCTGGTCATTTGCCTGTTCTGTTGCCTGGCACTTCACAAAAGTTGCAAAGAGGCAATTATGGGAAACGGTACTACTTAGGGGTGAGTAATTCTTTGGAGCTTTTGAACAATGAACCAGCAACCTGTGACTTGACTCACCTGAAATATGCAAAAGAAGGTAAAAATTCAATCTAAGGATGATGGTAAGATTTCTATTTTAATGAAAATGCCTCTGCTACGAAGCAATAGTAATTCTCTGAAGACGCTATTAGCATGTACTGTATGTTGCAATCAGTCTACTCTCACTGCTTCAAGGGCATTTTCCTTGTAGGAGCTGTTTATATTCTACAAATAGTTTGCAAACAACTTCTTTGCTTTGCAAAAGGGAAAGTCAAGAAAAATATTTACACAGAAAAGAGGGCAGGTCTGTAAAGATAATAGAAAGGCCTCTGATAATGCTGAGAAGGTGTGATTCCATGGTGCCATAATTACATTATGCTGACCAGGATCACTGTATAACAGTAAGATGTACAGATATATCCACATACACACAAGTGTACATAAATATAACATTCTATAGATGAAATAAAATAATCATGTTTTTCCTTCCTTTCGTAAACTGTCAGGCATACTGAAACTACGCTTTCAGGTGCGCTGGAGCAGAGAGTGGCATGGCCACTATTACAGATACAGTTCTGCTCTTAACAGTCACTGACCCTGTCAGGCACGGCTTTGTCACTTATTGCTAGCTTTCTGAGCTCCCACATCTTTCTCTTCTGGCTGCTCAGAGGACTTTGGGGAAGCTGGCCACAGCACTTCTGCGGACGTGATGGCGAATAGTAGTTATTTGCCTCAAAAAAGCTAGAAATACCCTATAAAGTCAGCTGTGCCTGCCCCCTCCTCCATCTCCATGAAACCTCCTGGGATGGTGCTACTGTTGGCAGCACTGCACTGAGTGCGTAGAATCAGTCCAAGAGGACATCAGCTCTATTTCGGTGATTAAAAATGACCCCGAGTTCTGTGCGCCAGCAGCCTTGCAGGGAAAAGCAAGAGGGCTGAAGTCTTGCCTCCCCAAAACAAGAGCTTGGAGTGCACAGCCGTCCTTTCCTACACCTCGCAGAGGCTCTGTTTTCCGAGGGCAGTAAGGAGGAGGTGACTGCTCTCTTGAGAAAATGGAAGGTGACAGCTTGCTGCAGGATTGTCAGCCTGCTTGAGCCATCTAGCGAATTCCTCCTTCTGTGGTGCCTGTAGCAACGTTGCTGTGAGCCTCCTCCCTGCAGCAAAAAGGCAGCACCCATTTGGGCAGGAAGGAGCCCCGATGTCCCCAAGTGCTGCATGTGACCTGCAGGAGATGCTCTTCCCCAATGCTGGGCCAGGAGCAGCACCAACGTGTTTTCCCACTAAAAGCTAACTCCTGCTAGTACACTTGCAGTGAAATTAAAGAATGAAAGGAGATATTTTAAGGGATAATACACTTCCTGATGGAGAATATAATCCAGAGAAGGGTTAGCACAGCACTTTATCTGGAGGCATTTTTTAAAAAGCTGATTGCGGTGTACAGGCTTAGCTCAATACCCAGATTTACAATGTATCTCCTCTGTGAGCATTAATAAACATTATAGATAAAAATCCTCACAATAGACTGAGATGAACATACCTCTGTGTTTTTATCCTCAGGTGATTGCCTATATATAGCTACTCGCTCCTCTGACATATCTGATGTGACTACATGAAGTGACCTAAAGCCAGCATAAATATAAGGTTCCCACCTATTAGTGTGGATTAATGAGATTCTACTGCTGCTATAGGTTGAAATTTTTAATTTTAAAATTAATTTAGGTATTAAATGGAATGCACAGGTGGCATTGTATTTCTGTTACCATCTCTTAACCTTGTTATCAAAGCCAGATTATATTGATAAGTATTGCTAGTCAAGTTTGCCCACAAAAAAACTTACATGACATATCACTGTTATATTACCACTGAAAAATTTATTTGTTAAAAAAGATAAGGAAAGAAAGGAGAGGAAGGAAGGGATAGGAGGGAAGGAAATAAAGAAATATCCCTAGAAGTGGCCAACATTTTCTTGGGAAACAAGCATTCTTTCATCTCAAAATGAAAATCTGTAGAGCATAAACAACATTCTGAACAGGAAGTGCACCTCATAGAAATATTCTCCTCATAGAAAAATAATGTTAGCATTAAATATAAATATGCTCTACATTATGCATACAGAGTAATGCACTATACTTTTGCCTTTCATGAAATGACCTAAGCCCCATGAGTCAATTATAGATCTGGGGCTATCTATCATCATATAAATAATTACTATGTCAAAATGTGCCGGAACAGTACCTGAAAGATAGAAATACAGGAGTTTGGAAACTATGCCATTTTGTATTTTAGGTATTTATACAGAGAACATGTATAATTATCCATGCATTCTGGGCATTTGTATCAGCAACTCCCATTAAAGTTCCTGAAAGTGCTAAGTGTGTATTCGGGCACTGACCACTCCACATTTTGCTTCCCAAAATATAGAACAGCATTCAGATTATTTTTAGATTCCCATTATAAGCTTCAAGGGCTTTACCAGGTAAATCCTACCATGCCACACATATTACTTCAGCAAATTAAATCTTAACTATGCAACTGTGCAATAAATACTGTTAATCCAGCTGCTTCCATAAACAAAAATAATAAAATTATTAGATTATTCTGTTCCTATTTTAAATATAGACTGTTTTTTACTGCATGAGCGGAGGCAGCTGCAGTAGTCATGACCTGTAATAGTGAAATTAAAATTTCATAATCAAACTAGAACTTCTTCAAAGATCAGTTCTTTTTCTGTTTATTTCATCCTCTGATGAGACTAAAGAAATCTTATAGCAAGATGACACAAAAGCTCATAATTTTCTTTTGTTTGTTTTTGTCCTAAATTTAAGAAGCCTCTTCAAAATACTGATTGCTGATGCAGTGAAGTTGCACCCATTTTCAGCCTCTGGGATTTGCCCGGTACTGTTTGCTCACAAAGCTACAGAAACAAAACACTTAAAATGACCAAGAGGAAAAAATGCATCATTCATTACGAAATGAAACACATCAGATAACTCTTAGACCTATTAAATAAGTAGATACATGTTTTTAATGACCTGCTGACAAAGTTTCAGTGTAGAATATTTTTATATGAATTCACACATTAATTAAGCAGAGAAATTTTGGAGCAGTTTTTCATGCTTCTGCATAAAGTATATGTTAATTATTCATCTAATTTCATTTTCTTCCTGCATAAGTTTCCTTCTTATTTATGCACAGTTGACTTGACTGAGCAGGCTGCAGGAAAGTGTCAGATAACCCTTTCCTGAGCAAAGGGAGAACAAGCACATTTGTGAATGCTGAAATGGCATATTTTGAGGAATATATGCTCAAGTAGCCTCCTTTATTGCAGAACTTTATTAACGTGTGTTTTTGGCTCAGGTGTTGAAGTTTTAAAAAAATTAGTCTGAGCATAAGATGTGCTCACATTTGAGGCATCCAAAATAATAATTTATTTTGGTCATTTCTACTAAAAGAAAAATTGGAAATAAAGGTCCTAATTTGCCATGCTGCTGAAATAGCATTCACAAAAAGAAGATGTATTAAGCAGATGTATTATTCATAAATTACTGTTCCTTAAGGCTGAGAAAAGAACAGGGATGTCCCATTTCTCAGACAAGTACTGAAACCACCAGCCTACAGTCACTTTTACTGATTTCATGAATAATCAATTGCTGAGGAAAAGTAGAACTGCGAGAGTAAAGGATCCTGGGGCATGGCTCCATGTTACACTTTATGTGGCAGAAAAATCTCTTCAAGTGACTCTTGCTTCTTTCTCCATGTTCAGGGACTTGTTATCACCCCCAGCACAACTTGCCAATACTTCATACTTGTGCAAAAGCAATTGTTTGAAGGGCTTGGCTCAAAATCAGATGAGTAAAGCAATGTGTATTTTAGGGTGGGGAAACCCACGAAGCACAAAAATTAAATAAATTGCTCTGTCATATTTGAAAGGCTGTTGAATAGTTGCAGATGAGGGCAGGATGAAAATGAGTGGTGGGAGCCGGTGAATGTTTCTGGAGAAAATTTAGCAAGTAACCACAAATCATGGGACATCTAAACCCATACTACTTTTAAGTGCCCTAGCCAGAGGACAGCAAACTGCAAGAACTATGGGAAGCAAGTAGTTTTGGGTTTTCTGAAGTCCACCAGTGAATGTAACTTAAATTAGAAATATTGCTCATTGAAATTTCTCTGCATTTCAGC